TGTGTATATATATATCTCCTCAATATATATTCCACTCTATATGCATCCGAAGAAGTGGGCAGTAGCCCACGAAAGCTTATGCTCTAATAAATTTGTTAGTCTCTAAGGTGCCACAAGTACTCCTGTTCTTTTAGTTATAGTCTATCATCTTATATCCCCACTGCTGTCAGGCACTGGCTCCTGGTCTGCAGGTCTGACATGGTGGGGAAATACCTGAGCCTGGGGTGTCATCTGCCCCAGGCTCTGCTCCAGGATAGGCTGCTGCCGCATGCCTGAAGGCTGAGTCACTGCAGGCTCTGTGGGAAGAGTTAGTTCAACTGGGGTGTTGCTGCATGCCTGAGTGGTGACTCACTGCAGCTCTGTTGGAAGGGCAGCTGAGTGAGCAGCTCTGGTATAGCTGTGGGCTTGTCTCACAACTGCAATTGATCTGACTAGACATGGTGGGACATGAGGCCGTAGATAGCCCCACAGGTAGACAGGTGCACTACTATATTATTTAGAGATTTAAATGCTAGAAATAAAACCTGAATGTGCATTTGCTTGGAAAAAAAGCAGTCAGTTAAGAAGGAATAAAAAAGAAAAGAACAAGTCGGGTTAAAAGGAAATGCGAAGATGGTAGGGCAAAAATTACACCCTTTTGTGTTTCTCTTATTGAGTATAGAAGATCTCTATAGACTATGTAGGAGAAGAAAGGTTCCAAATCTCAGAACAGAACTGCTCTCCTGGAGATTGTATGTGGCAGACATCAGAGTCCATTATGGCAAGTGCAACTCAGAAGTATCCTGTAGTGTAATAGTTATCACACCCCATAGTTTAAAGGCTACCACATACAGTACTGTGGCTTGTTTTCAACTTTTTTCTCTGTGAACACATTTAGGTTCATAAAGGGAGCTGCATTCTGAAAACAACTCCATTTACATCCAGGCATGTCTGCCATCCTGACAGTTCAATAGTGGTGCCTCATAAATATTGTGCTTCATGAATAAAAACTGGGTGAGAATAGCCTTGTTTGAGCACAAATCTCTGATTGCCTCCAAACAAATGGAAAGCTTGAAGTTAAATATACAGTAAAGTGAGTTATTTCCAAACATCCACAGCTCTATGTTTGATCTGAATGGAATAAGTCTGCCTGAGACAGCTGCTTCTAGTCTGCTCTCTGCCAATGATATTTTCAATCTCTCTCTCTCTCTCTTCTTTTTATTTGCAGGGTTTTCACCAAATCAAAGCCCCTCAGAGCTGAACCACCCCAGAACTGGGGAGAAATTCAAAGCCAGATCAGTGCCTTGAGCCAAGTGGTATAAACTGAAGTAACTCCATGGAAGTCAACAGAGCTATGCCAATTTACAACATCTGAGGAACTGACTCTTTATGTTTTGGCCTGGATCCAAACACCCCCGGTACTTTGGGAAATTTAGGGCCCATATCAATACTTCGAAGCACAGGGGCCCACGCCACTTGCCTCAGCAACTCAGCTTTCTCAAACCTTACCAGCTTGATGCCTTCTGAGGTTCGGTTTTCTGGTGGCCCTGAGAGGATGGCCTGCGCCTCATGGCTGATAGTTGTCTGAGAGAAGAGAGGGGGAAGAGCAAGCCCCAGTCAATTAGTTACAGATACTGATCACCCTGTGCAATCCATTGTGTCTGGGAGACCAGTGAGATACATAATTTAAGTTTACATATGTGCGAGCTAGGTCAGAAATCAGCCCTGGTTCTTTAAGGCACGAGCTGATTGCTTCTTAGGGCCGAGAAGGGAATTTTCTTCTTATGATAAAGCATAGCACCAGTGGCCTGGTGCAGCATATTTACCTGCTAATAGGGTGGGGTGTGGAATGTGCCTTCCTCAGAAGCATCAGGTATTGGTCACTAATCAATGTTAGGTATCAGTCTAAGGCTGGGATTTTCAAAGAAACCTACAGGAAGTTAGGTGCTCAGTTCTTAATGGAATGTTGGTGCCTAACTCCCAGGTTCTTTGAAATATCTCAACCTCAAAGGGTAGCAGTTCTGCCGGGAAGAATGAATCCCATCCCAATGACTGTTGATGGAACTACTCCATGCTTAAAGTTAAGCATATGCTTACTTGCTTTGGTGAATCAGGGCCTGCATGAATGGCCACTATCCACCCACTGACAGTGGTTGGTAGAAACATTTGATACATATTAGGGAGGTCAGTGTCATGAATTACTTTTTTCTGCAGGTCACCTTTAATTTTTAGAGGGTGCTCAACTGAGCAGAATAGAGGTTTTTCAGAAGCAGAAGTATCATCTCCTCAAGTTGAGGTCGTTTGGAAGACTCTCATTCTACATTTATTCTTCAATCTCTTGGGTTTTGGGGGTTTATTTTCAGTAAGGAGCACAGACTCGACTAAATCTCACAGATTTGGAGAGCTTTCCCAAAGGCTCCACAAGCCTGGAAATTACAATGCTGTGCTTCTAACATCATTGATTTTATTAGTGCATCCCTTAAATGCATTGTTTTAAGACCTGTTTCTCCAGAGACCTCTGCACGTGACTCACTTGAGTAGTTCCTATTGAACTGTCTGCATAGCAGGAACTGCTCATATCAGCAAAATGACTCCCGTGTACAAGTCTGTGCAGGATCAGGCCTTTCAAATGCAAGCTCCAATTATCCACCCCTTATTTACACATTGGTTGCATACAGTACCTCTACTTTAGCTTTAAAATAAGAACAGTCAAAAAGGAGGTTTTCAGTCTCTGTCCTGGATCCAGTGAACTGTAGCCGAGAAAAGGATAACAGTTCAGCTCTAGATTCTGCATAGTCCCTGCAATTAAAACAACAGCAACATAAACACCCATACAAAATTATCTGTATGAAACATAATGAACATTCTAGTAATCTCAAAACCTTGCTTTAAAACTTATATTCAGCAACATCCAAAGAAAGGGGTAACCTTATTCACTGCACCCTCCTCATTACGTAAATAATCGACATTTAGCATAGGATATAGCCTTTCTTTGTCAATTATTGTTAGATTTAATCTGTACAGGCATGGCTGAGAAAATGCTAAATCCCAAAATAGAGACTTCCAGATTTACTGGAGAGAAAATAGGCAAGAAAGCAAGATTTAACTAAACAAACAGAAGGTTCTGGATGTGTCTGTGAATAGCATGAAGTTTTTAATATAGAACTGGTAGTGTTTGCCTGAAAACTACACTGTGATAGCATATGATGATTCTGCTGGGAAGAGTTAAGTAGGTTTTGAGCATTCAGGGGTGCAGCTGGCTTGTCACCCCACTGGGGTAATGAGGGAGATGGGAATAGCGTTGGGCAGGAAGAGCTAGGATTTGGGATAAGGGATGTGAGGAATGAAACTTGGGCCACATTTTTGAAATTTGAGTGCCTAAAGTTAGGCCCCCAAGTCCATATTTAATTGGAAGGGTCTAAAATTTCCCATCAACATATTTTTTCAACTAGAAGTTTGGTTTTCAATTAAACAAACATCTTTGTGGAAAGGGTCTGCCCAAGCCTTGCCTCCTCCAGCTCCTCACAAGCCTCTTCCCTCTAGTCCACTATGTCCTGCCCTGTCTCAAATGCCCCCTGCAACCAGAGCTGGTGATGAGGTCACTCTGTGCCGGGCACAGATCCTCACACCTGGGGAGCCCTCACACCTTCCCTTCAGACTCTTTGTACCAACGTTGCTGCTCAAAAGAGCCATGGCACAACAATGAATCTGGCCCATTGTGCTGTGTCTCCCCCCTGCCCTGGAGTAAATGCGGGCGATGTTCACATAGCCATTTTTGGTTAACAACTTTCTAATATGCGCAAATGGGTTTGTTTATTGCAGAAATGTATTTAGTTTGTGCCCTGGGTTCACTGATAACATCAGCTCAGCTTGAGAAAGGGAGGGGCTGCTGCTGTAGATAGCAGAGGTGTTTCAATACACTGAACTAGGCTCTGCTCCCAGTTCAAGCGGTGTTATCCCAGGGTGACTCACCTGCTGTATTTCTATGAGCCCTATTAATACAAGACTAGGTTCCGCTTACAGTGGTGCAGCTGTACTCTCGAGTGTAGCTGCTCTAAGCCAACCAGAGCGAGCTCTTCCATCGAGTTAATTGATCCACCCCCGACAAGTGACAGTACCTATGTCAGTGGGAAGTTCTCCCACTGACATAGTGCTGTCCATGCCGGCGCTTCTGTCAATGTACCTTATGTCACTCGGGGAGGGAGGGTATTCACACCCCTGAGCAACAGAAGTTATACCGACATAAGTGGTAGTGCAGACATAGCCTCAGTTTACATTCATGCAGGAGTGGTCCGGGAAACAATCCTTTCTCCCCGCTCTTCCCCTATCCTCCACCTGCTGTGGAGCTGCTACATGAAGGCTTGTCCAGCCTAATCCTTAATTTTGTAACGCCAGTAACTCAGTCATCCTCTGTAAGATCCAATGCCCAGAGGACCCCTGGTGCACCAGTTCTTAGGGCCCTATCACACTCCCACCACTGCCACACAGGAAATCCCATAGAAATGGGTTACACATCATGCAAGGCGTGTGTATTCACAGTGGGGGGTCTCACCAAATCCCACTCCCCCAACACACTCACGCACACATTGTGCAGGTCTATATCTGTTCCGATTGTGTCTTTTGCTCCTTAGACAACAAAAACAATGGGATGAAACCACATGGGCACAACTGGGTCTCAGATAACTGGATTTACTAAGTATACCCAAATGTGCCTGGCCTAACTATGTACAAACTGCTACTCGAGCTGATTTCTGGGGGCTTCTAAGATAAAAACATGATGAGCCCCACTACAGGGTTCACAAACTATTTAAAGTGCCACTGCTAGAATAGCTCATTCCACTGCTACAAAAGTGGGGTCTGGATCTGTTCCATGAAGGCCCTGATTCAGCAACATTTTTAAAAGCACAAGTCTAACTTTAAGAACTGGTGTCTAAGCATGCAACACTGTCATTAGTGTGAATGAAGGTCTTTGTGGCTATTTTAAAAAACTCTGTTGGTGATGGACTGGTACTTTAAACGGTGATACTAGTAATGTAGAAATCTTTTCCCCCATCTGGTTAGATCATTCTTCAGGAAAATCAGATTTTGAGTCCACTGATCCTGGACTCTGAAATCTGGACTCTCTCTAGTCTTTCAGTGCTTAGAGTCCTTGGAGAGCTTTCATATTTTACCTTTTTCTTTGGATTAATACTGGCTCTGACTAGCACAAGATCTCAGTAGAGTTTAGCAGGTAATCTCTCAAGACTCAGTCAAAAAGAATGGAATGGGGTAATCCTAATAAACTTTCTTCTGAACTTTTGTAGGTGATGAGAAGAGATAGAGAGAGAGAAATAGTTCTATAAATGTGTATGTGTGGATAGATAGATACATGATAGTTAGAAAGAGAGAGAGAGCAAACATGATGATATTGTATAAAAGTTATTGTGTATAAACTTATTAATAGTATTTATTATTTGTATTGTCATAATACCTGGAAGTCTCAGTCAGGGACTGGGGCCTACCCACACTTAATGAAAAGATGGCTAAGCATCTTTTTTCAGGCTAAATAGAAGGAGTAATTAAGCCCCTTTATGGAGTGAGATAGCTAGAGACAACAGAAACTACTGTCCAAGGTAATTGGCTGCATGGCAAAGTCTGAACAAGTCTAAACTGTTTGGTCTGAGAGGTTTCCCTGGGACTTGACAAACACATGGGCTAGAGGATTATTTGGCAAAGAGTGGGTGTGGGAGAGGGAAGGAGGGAAAGAAGAATACTACTCTTGCCATCCTCAGGGTATCAGGAGGGTTGACCTGAGAGGGAGCAAAGAGACAGAACTCCTCTGACACATGACTCTCTGGAGAGGCAGGCTTGGAAATTGTTAGCAAGGAAATTGCTGTTGTTTGTTCCCACTGTTTCAGGGAAACAGGACTTTGCATACTTTTTAAACAGGATTGCACCAAAGAAATATCTGACTAATATAATCAATTTCTTCTCCTAACAAATACAACCCACAAGACCCCAATTATTGGCTGGTCGGTTCTTGGGACAAAGAGGCAATAATATGAATGTTTTCAGAAAGGGAATTTTTGGCTCAGAACACATTTATTTAATCAAAAAGCTAAACCTGCTTCGTGACAAAACAAAAACATTGTTCTGGCAAAAGCTAAATCAGTTCTTGAAGATTACAACAAGTGATCCAGGCCCTTATTCAGCACATGCTTAAGTCCTGATGACTTATACCCTATGTCTTCAATGGGCCCTATGCACGTGCTTAAAGTTAAGTGCTTTGCTGAGGACCCACATAAGAAAACTGAAACATTACCATGTGACTCAGATGACCAGTCATGCAGCACAAATGGGGGATACTCACACAAATACTCACTGTGAATAATTCACAAACAATGATAGCTTGAGATTTGTTTACACAAACAATTTATGGAACAATTATAAATAATGGATACATTTATTTGTGTACCCAAACACAAAAAGAAACCAAATTCTCTGCATAAATTACTTTTTGCAAATTGTCAGCCTGGCTCTAAATTATGGATAGAAATATATGAAATATAAAATGTTCTCTGACAGATGTGAATAGGGAACTCTTTATTGTGTGAATGTTAATCACATCATTATTTTGCTTCACCCTACTTACACTGCTTTCTGCTCATCTTTTCAGGAGTGGCTAAGTGTAATTCAAATATTTAAAAAACCTGTTCAGTTTGATCTCTGTTAATGTTAACTGCAGGGTTTCATTTCCATCTGCCACAGAGAAAGTCTTACCTGTACATTTTAATGAGATTGCGAATGACCTGGATGACCAAAACTGCCCTGCGGAATTTACGGAGACACTATAACACAAAAGGAAACGTGTTTTTGTAAACAACTAATACGCATGTTTGTTCCTGTGAATGTTCCAGACAGCTTGTAAGTAATGTCTGCTCTAACTCAGCAAGGTATCCAAGGTCATGTGACCAGACCACATGTTGCTGGACTCCATCTTAGGATGTCAGTGTTTTTCCACAAACTGGTCCGGGAACCAAGTTTTGAAACAAAGGGTTCCCGCCATATGCTAAAGCTATATAAGGCAGTGAGTGACATCATTCGTGGTTCTTCACTCCCCACACAAGAAGATTCCTGGAAACACTTGAGGAAAAAGACTGGACTGGGGAAACTAAAGGGATTTCTAGCCTGTGTATGAAGACCTGAGAAACCCAATCTGTAAAGCTAAGGCAGCTTGTGCCATAAGGGTCTGCCTGTACCATCAGTTAGGGTGAGAATCTGCTATTCAAATTCCATCTTTCTAGTAGCTTGGACTTAGAGTATGTCTATACTACCCGCCGGATCGGCGGGCAGCGATTGATCCAGCGGGGGTCGATTTATCGCGTGTAGACTCGATGCGATAAATCGACCCCCGAGCGCTCTCCAGTCAACTCCCGTACTCCACCAGGCCGAGAAACACAGGCACAGTCGTCGGGGGAGCGTCAGCTGTCGACTCACCACAGTGAAGACACTGCGGTGAGTAGATCTAAGTACATCGACTTCAGCTATGTTATTCATGTAGCTGAAGTTGCATAACTTAGATCGATCCCCCGGCCCCTA